GAGGAGGAGGAGGAGGGGTCCTTTGGGGGGAGGGCCGTCGGCCACCTCCTCCCCGCGGGGGGAGGTAGCGACTCCCCCATTGTGGTGGGCCCCTTTTGGTAGTGTGCCCAGCCCCCACGTCTCCACGTCCGTCTTTCGAGCCGCGACCCGCTGTGGCAACGGGGCGTCATTGTCATTGTCATCGTCTCAAAGTGGGGCCCACTCTGAGACGATGACAATGACAATGACGACGTCGACGCCATCATGTCGTCACTTCGTCAGTCGCCATGGCGTCGTCGGGCCGAGAGGACTGGGCGGTGGGGCGGAGGGGGGGAAATCACTCCTGAGATCTTGGCGTCTCAATTTTTCATGGCGCCAACATCGCAGAGCGGATTCCGGTCGGATTTTTCAATCGGATGGGTTTGGAGAATCCTGGAGAATTTTGTTCCATATTGCGGAGTGAATTTCGTGCGGACTTTGTTGGCCAGGAATGAAGACTTTTAAACATCCACATGAAGTTCACTTCGTTTTTCACTCGCCGTCGTCTCAATTTGTTTCGAGCCGGGCGTTCTCGCCTCTTAAGTATCGGGCCCTGGAACCCTCCCAGGTCGATCCGGCTTAGAATATGACGCAGAAGGACGGGGTCAGGGGCTCTTGGGGTGATTTTTCGGGGTGTTGTAAGTGTTTCGCAGCGTCGGATCTCAGGGATCAGCTATAGCCAAGTCGTTGAAATAAGGACCGCCTTGGGGTCAAGAGGGGCATCTGGTTTTCGGGCCGTGTTTGGCATCTGGGACATGGAGCCCCCTCGAAGCCGAGTCTCGCCGTGGCAATAAAAAACAGCCCTTTCGTTCCTTGTTCAGCGTTCCATATGGTAATTCGCACGACGCCTGGACACGCAGACAGAAGCCCTGCGTCCGCGTGGACGCGCTGGCAGGAAAATGAACGGATACAGCCAAACGCTGCAACCAGAGGGCCAGCAGCAAGTCAAGCACAGAGGCGTAGCCAAACGCCATTCCTGAAGAAGACAACGATTGACCTTGACATGGCACCCGGGAGGCCTCGCGCGGCGTGCCACAGTTGTATGACCTGGTCCCCGCGTCCGCCCCGTCAGATCTGGGGCGACGTTCGCGCGGCGATGCTCCGACGTAAGTCCGACGTACACCTGGCGTGAATCCGACGTAAGCTCGACGCGGATCCGACGTGGATCCGATGCACGTTGGGTCTCAAGATGCTGGGCGAGGCCTCCACCTCCTGCCCCCGCAGTTTCGTGCTTCGCCTTCGGTGGTCCAAAGGTGGGCCCCCTGAGGGATGGGGCCCCAAGGACAGGAGAGGATCCGAGACTAGCTTCACACCGCTTGAGGCATCTCCCTCCGGATCCCATCTTTTGTCGGCGTCGCGCCCAGGGGAAAGAGAGAGAGAGGGCAGGCCTTCTCAGCGGGCGGCGGGGCCTCCGAGAAGCCCCCTGGCCTGCTGAGAAGCCGCCCCTGCCTTCGGAGGGGGTCGTCTCGGAAGGCCTGAGGTCGGCCGAGCCCTGTGGGAAGGCCCGCCCCCTCCGCATTCTCCCCTGGGGTTCGCCGCCGAGTTGAGCCACCGACATCTCCTGGCGTCGGCGACGACGCCGACGCCGCCGCCGCCGCCGACGACGACGACGACGACGCCGCCGCCGCCGCCGACGACGACGCCGCCGCCGACGACGACGCCGCCGACGACGCCGACGACGCCGCTGACGCCGCCGACGACGCCGCCGCCGCCGACGACGCCGCCGCCGCCGACGACGACGACGACGACCGCCGACGCCGCCGACGACGCCGCCGCCGACGACGCCGCCGCCGACGACGACGACGACGACGCCGACGCCGCCGACGCCGCCGACGCGCGCCGACGACGACGCCGCCGCCGCCGCCGACGACGACGACGACGCCGCCGACGACGCCGACGACGCCGCTGACGGCCGACGACGCCGCCGCCGCCGACGACGCCGCCGCCGCCGCCGACGACGACGACGACGACGCCGACGCCGCCGACGCCGCCGACGACGCCGCCGCCGACGACGCCGCCGCCGACGACGACGACGACGACGCCGACGCCGCCGACGCCGCCGATGACGCCGCCGCCGACGACGACGACGCCGCCGCCGCCGACGCCGACGACGCCGACGCCGACGACGGCGTCCTCGTTGGCCGGCGCTGGCCGGCGCGCGCCCGCGCGCAGGCGCGCAGCGGCCGCGCGCGTCGTGGAGTCGGGGCCAGAACGCACTCTGGGAGAGTTCAGGGCAGCGGCCCTAGGCATCCGAGATGGGGTCGGAGTAGTTGGGGTCGGAGGATCGCGCCGCATCGCCGATGCATCGCCGACGCGGCTCGACGTGCAGCACGATCTGCTTCACGTCGACGCTGCCGATGCATTGCCGACGTCGGCGATGCATCGCCGGTGCATCGCCGATGCATCGCCGATGCATCGGCGATGCGGCGCGATCCTTCCACCCCATCTACAGCCGGGGCCCTGAAGAAGGAACCGTTTTGGTTGGTGAGGGGCTCCGCGTTCCTTAAGTGTTTCACAGCTTGCCTCAAGTTTTCCCTGATGTTTTCGGTCGGAAGTCGAAGCTTCACTTATGGACAACAGGGGCCTCGTTCCTTATTTAGGGTTCCTTAGGTCAACGCCCCGACTGTAGAGTTGGCCGCGCGGGTGCCGCCAGCGAGAGCGATCGGCGGAGGGCGTCGGCCACGCGCAGAGGGGGGGGCAGGGTCAGGTCGGGCGTGTCCCTCTACATGAGGAATACTCAAAACTAGGCAAACATGGTCTTGGGACGATGTTCTGCTTATTTTGGGCTACTTTTGATTGAGTATTTGTTGATTATTTGTTCAACAGGTTTTTGCTCCACATCCGCCTGTAGCAGGACATGCCCGACCTAAGGGTAGGGAGGGGTGGAAGGCTTCTTGGAAGGAGGCTGCTTAGAAGGCGAGGGCCTTATATCTGCACATGTAAGGCCCTCGCCTTCCAAGAAGCAGGCCCTCTTTTCCTCATTCGCGCTGGCTTCACCTCTTACCTCCTGTTTCAAGGGATGGGCCCTGACCAGTGTCTTTGAAGTTCCATGCTCTGTGGCGCTTTCCTCAGTATCACACCTCCATTCGTCACAGACCACGAGGTGCTCCACGGCAGTAGTTTGGAGGCCCGTCTCCGCACTCGGGCACGGAGGCATCGCGCGTGCCGCAAGGTGCGGTCTTCGCTCGCGCTCGAAGGATGCAACCGTGGGGAGGGTGGCCCTTGAAACAACATCATCCGTGCGAAGGACCCAACCATCTTCAGTTGTGAGTCCCGTCGTTGTGAGTATCACCTTTGGGGGATCTTCTCATGGGGCCACTGCAGTCGAGCATGTAATCAAGAAGCCTCCTCCCGGAAGGCCGAGCCGGCGTTTCTCAACGAACTTGCTGGCAAGCTGGCCCAGTCTCTTGAGCATGTTCGCCCCTCCACGGTGAACGGCAGAAATTGGCCCAGAGGTGTTTCAAGAAGCCTCCAGGAAGCTGGCCCAGATTTCTTATGTGACAGGCTTCTAGATCATGATCTTGGCCGTAAGCGTGTAAAGGGTTCGCCGAAATGGGGCGGGGCCGCCATGCGGGCGCTGCAACTGGAGCTTGAGGTAGAGCCTCCTATGATGCCACGAAGCGTGTGTGGAGTCGGCTGAAATGGCGCGGGGCGGGCGCTGTCTTCGGTCGAGCCCCCAGATGTGGTCACGAAGCCCGCCATGCGGGCCCTGGCGCTGGGACCTGCGGTGGAGCTCCCTACGGGCCACGAAGCGCTGTACTGGGCGGGAGAAGACGCATGCGAGTTCTGCCAGTGGGACCTTCGGTGGAGCCCCCCATGGGGCAACGAAGCGCTGTACTGGGTGGGGGGACGCATGCGAGTTCCGCCACTGGGACCTCCGGTGGAGCCCCCTATGGGGCCACGAAGTGCTTTACTGAGCGGGGAGGGAACTCACGCGAGTTCCGCCATTGGGACCTCTGGTGGAGCTCCCTATTGGGCCACGAAACGAGTGGCGCGGTGGCAGATTGAGGAGCTGTGCAGAAGTGTTTGCGTGCAGCTGGTTTTTCGGCCCCGCCGCCACGTACAAAAATGCTTGCGATACCGTGGCTGCCCCTTGCGCCCGGGGGCGGCGCCAGACTCTCTGACTGCATGCTGCTGAGTGTCTCACCAGGGGGAAAAACCACAGGCACAAATTCCGTCGACTCCCTTTGACAATGCGGAACCTGTGGGACGTGGAGGGGAAGACTGACACCCAGGAAATGGGGCAACTGTGAGACGTTTGTGGGACTTGTGTCTATTGGAGAGGCCTGACGGCCGGTGCCGCCGACCCTGATCGAAAGGGCTAGGAGTGGGGGGAGGAAGCGGAGGAGGAGGAGGAGGAGGAGGAGGAGGAGGAGGAGGAGGAGGAGGAGGAGGAGGAGGAGGAGGAGGAGGAGGAGGAGGAGGAGGAGGACCCAGGAAATGGGGCAACTGTGAGACGCTTCTGGGACCTGTGTCTATTTATTGTGCCTGTCCGTGGCCCCCTCTTCAGGAGAGAAAAGGCGGAGCGGGCGATGATGCCCTTTCGCTGCTCGGAGGGCCGCAGGGCGGTCGAGACGCCCCGCCGATCTGCACGGCCCCCCTTCTGACTTCTCCCCCCAGCGCGCCGCCGCTCGCGCCGCCGCCCAACCATCGGCGCGCCGCCGATTTGCCGTCCGCCCCCCCCCCCCCCCCCACCCGCCTGACGGGCCTGTCTTCCACCACCACCACCGTAAGCTGGAGGGGGGGGAGGAGGTGGAGGATGAAGACGAGGATGAGGAAGACGAGGGGGAGGAGGGCTCACCGCTGTCTCCGTCGGGTGTCAGGTAAGCATCTGGCGGAGACAGCGGCCCCGCGGTGGGGCGAACGCATCGCGTCCGCCTCCTTTGCTGTGCCCAGGACCCCCTCCCCCTTCAACTTGTGGTGGTGGTGGTGGTGGTGGTGGTGGTGGAGAACAGGCCCATCACCGCCCCCCCCGCCTCGCCCCATCATAGGTTTGCGCCCCCAGATGGGTAGCTGCCCCTGGAACGTCACAGGGCTGACGCTGCCTCACGCAGAGGTCGCACTTCATAAAAATTTGGCCTGGCGAAGACCCTAACCCCTGGTATAAACGGGCGGGGCTCCTCCTCCTACTCCTCCGCCTCCGCCTCCTCCTCCTCCTTCTCCTCCTCCTCCTCCTCCTCCTCCTCCTCCTCCTCCTCCTCCTACTGGGCGCAGCCGCTGGGGCCTTCGGCCTTCGGTGGAGCTCCCCACTCATGGGGCGACGAAGCGCGTGAGCGGTCTGCCGACATGGGGCGGGGCCGCGTGCGGACGCAGCCGCTGGGGGGGCTCGGTGGAGCTTCAATGGGGCCACGGAGCGCGCGAGGGGTGTGCCGACATGGCGCGGGGCCGCGCAGTGACGCAGCCGTTGGGGCCTCAGGTGGAGCTCCCTAGTGTGAGGGGTCTGCCGGAATTGGGTGGGGCCGCGTGCGCCTTCGGTGGAGGCCCCCATGTAGGGTCACGGGACGTGTGAGAGATCCGCCGATCTTGGGTATGACCGCATGCGGACGCAGCCATTGGGTCTGTCGGTGGAGCTCCCTATGGGGTCACGAAGCCTGCGGGTGGTCTGCCGAAATGGGGCGGGGTCGCGTGGAGACGCAGTCATTGGGCCGTCGGTGGAGAGCCCCATGGGGCCACGAAACGTATGAGGGATCTTGCGCAATTGGGCGGGGCCGCGTGCGAACGCATCCACTGGGGCTTTCAGTGGAGCTCCCCATGGTTTCCACGAAGCGTGCGATGGGGCCTGCCGAAGTGGGGCGGCCTCGAAACGTGCGAGAGACCTTGCGTAAAAAGGGGCGGGGCCGCATGCGAACGCAGCCACCATGGCCTTCGGTGGAGTTCCTTATGACTCCACGAAGCGCGTGGGGGGTGTGCCGAAATGGGGCAGGGCCGCATGTGGACGCAGTCGCTGGGCCCTCTGTGGAGTGCCCCATAGGGCGACAAAACGTATGAGGGGTGCGTGGGTAATTATGCGGACGCTGCCACTAGGGCCTATGGCGGAGCTCCCTATGGGGCCACGGAACGTGTGGGGGGGCGGGGCCGCATGCGGACGCAGCCAAGGTGGGCTTCGGTGGAGCTCCATAGGGCCACGGGACGTGCGAGGGGCCTGCCGAAATTGGGCGGGTAACGAAGTGGACGCTGTCACTGTGGCCTTCGGCGGAGCTCCCTTTGGGGCCACGGAGTGTGTGAGGGGTTCGCCGAAATGGAGCGGGTAAACATGCGGACGCTGCCACTGGCCTTCGGCGCTGTACCAGAATGAGCCGGGTAACCATGCGGACGCTGCTGCTGGGGTCTATTGCGGAGCTCCGTATGGGCCACGCCCCGCTTTGAGAGGTGTGCCGAAATGGTGCGGGGACGCCATTCGGACGCTGCCACTGGGGCCTCCATCGGAGTGTCCGTGGGGGGTGCGCCGACATTTGGCAGGCACCCAAGGCCTCCGGCAGAGCTCCCCGCGGGGCCACGTAAAGTGTGAGGGGTGTGTCGAAATTTGGCGAATAATCATAGGGACGCTGCCACTGGGTCTTCGGCGGAGTTCCCGGTGGGGCCACGAAACATGTGAGGAGTGCGCCAAAGTTTGGAGGCTAATCGTGCGGACGCTGCCACGTTGTGCCTTCGCTGGAGCTCCTTGTGTGGCCACGAAACATGTGAGGGGCCCCCTATAGGGCCACGAAGCCGAGGATACTGAGAAAGTGGAGGGAGGATGGGAAAGGAGGCGAAGGAGACGGAGGAGATGCGCGGCGCTGCGAAGTTGGAGAGATCCCCCCCCCAGACCCCCGACGTCGTGGCGTTTTGATGACTTGGCCCTCAGAAGTCTGGACCCCTTCCTGGGGACCGGCTTTTCATTCTGAGTCGTTTGTGGACGGTCCCGAGGCCCGGGAAGGGCCCTGCTTGAGAGTCCGAAAATAGAACAAAACCTCCCGTCGCGATTTTTTCACAGCGGGACGACCGAAATGGGTGCGGAAAGGCTGGGCACAGAGACCGAATGCAGTTCCTGATCATTTTTTGAACAGGACCCGCCGTTGATCTCGCCGCGGGCGGTGCCCTTTTTTTGAGGCAGAGGGCCGCGGGCCCAACAGCGGCCGCTGCTGGTTTTGGACAGCATGCGTTGTTCGGCAAGGGGCCGCTTCGTCCCGTACCCACTTCGGGCGTCCGAATCACCGGGCGGATGCCGAGCGGCCGCAGCCTCGCAGCAAGCACCCCAGCCGAGCACCCTGAGAGCGGCAAGGGCGCGGCCGCGTGAGGCATGCAAGGCATCAGCGAGCGAAGAACGGTATAACATAAACTTTTTCGCCGTCGGGGACACCTGCCCCTGGGCGGCTGGAAAGTTGATGCCCCTACGGTGCCACCGTAAGGGTATAAACTTTCCAGCCGCGCTGGGGCAGGTGTCCCCGACGGCGAAACAGTTTATTCTCTTGCACAGCTGTGCTCTAGAGCTCGGACATCTTTATTTTCGTGTCGTGTCGTGTCGTTCGTCCCCCTGGCCCCCCCCTGCCCCCCCCCGTCCAGGCTCCCCAGGGCAGCCCCCCTGGGCCTCCCGTCCAGGCTCCCCAGGGCAGCCCCTCTGGGCCTCGGACACCTTTATTTTTGTGTCGTGTCGTGTCGTTCGTCCCCCTGCCCCCCCCCCTGCCCCATCCCCGCCCAGGCTTCCCAGGCTCTTGGGGAGCCACTGGTCCTGGTCCTGGCCTCCCTGGCCCCGCTGGCCCTGGTGTCCTGGACCCAGCCTCCCCCCCCTGGCCCTGGCCACAAAAAGTGAACTCCTGGAGGAAGGAGGCGAAAGCTTCCTGTCTCCAGCAGCTCCTTTGTGCAAGAGCCAGGGCACGCGTGCCACTTGTTTTATACCGTTCTTCGCCCGTGAAAGGCAGGGCCTCGCCTCCGAGGGTCGAGGGAGCTGCTGCGCCGTCCTCGGCGGAGGGCGGCGGCGGGTCGGCGGAGGGCGGCGGACGCCAAGCGGGGCGGCAATCCCCCTGGCAGCGGGAGGCCGCAGAAGTACATCACCACCCACCAAACCACCCCAACCCAACCCGAAGGCCCAAATTTATCCTCGATTTCCAGTGGGGGGGGGTCGGGGAACGTTGAAAAAACACATGGTATCCGTACCCCCCCCAACCCGAAATTCGGGTCAAATTCGGGTCTTCGGGTTGGGTTGGGGTGGTCTGGTAGGTAGTCAGTACAGGAGGCGCCCCCAAGAGATGGCGTGTAGGCGAGGGCACCATCCCTGAACAACTTGTGTCGAGTCGGGCCTGGCCCTCTACAGGGGGAGTGTTCCAGAACAGTGAAGACATCGCCCGGGGACGAGTTCTCGCCAATCTTGGAGCCTTTTGGGAGTATCTGTTTGGGTGTGTCTAACCTTTCGCCCCAAGTCCCGTTGTAGGGGGACGGGCCCGACCTAACGAGAGCACCATCCCGGAGCAACTTGCGGGGAGGTCTCGGGCGGAGCGGCTGCCGCGGTGGGCGTCCTCGGGCTCCCTCTCCGCCATGTGGGGTTTTTCGGTTGTTTTTCTTTCCCGTCACCGAAGCCGTCGAGCGAAGCTGTTTTTAAGGGATATATATATATGTATACATATGTATAGGTATATCTATATAGAGAGAGTACAGATATACATATTTATGTATATTTATACATATTTATACATATCTATGTCTTCACATCTTTCCAGAGAGAGAGAGAGAGAGAGAGAGAGGGAGAGGGAGAGAGAGAGAGAGAGAGAGGGAGAGAGAGAGAGGGAGAGAGAGGGAGAGGGAGAGAGAGGGAGGGAGAGAGAGGGAGAGAGAGAGAGAGAAACAAAAAAAACGAGAGAGAGAGAGAGAGAGAGGCGATCGGCCGCAGAGGATGGTCGAGTCCAGAGCCAGAGGGCTTTCCCGGCCACGGCGGGCCTCGGCCTTGGCGTCTCCCCGGGCGGCCAACACGCGGAACCCGCCCTGCAGCCGAGCGCGGTCCCTGTCTCGGAGTTTGTGGCGTACGTCGTCAACGATAACGGTAACAACGATAACAACGATGACGATAACAACGATAACGATAACAACGATAACAACGATAACAACGATAGCAACGATAACGATAACAACGATAACAACGATAACGATAACAACGATAAGGATAACAATAACGATAACGACGTCCAGCAGCCGGGGTCCGACGGCCGAAGTCAGCCGAGCATCCAGTCGAGCCGCCTCTGCCAGGGAGGGCAGCTCTGTGTGATCCCGTCGCGTGGGGCGCCTTTTGTCGTCGAAGCCGTTCGTCTGATGCCGCGTCTACTCTCAGTGCCTTCTCTCTGGTCGATGGGCAGTTTTGACATGGCTCATTGGTCCGGAAGATACCCGCACCCGGGGCCAGCCAAGGTGAGATGGGCCGTCCGGGGGACTGGGCGCTTGCTATTGTGCCCGGTCAGCTTGCCCCGCGCGCGCCAGTGCAGCATCCGCGCGTCAAGACGCAACGGCGCGCTCGATGGTTGGGTGTCTGATTGCAGCGACAAGCGCTGGTTTTTTTTAGGGACGTCTCGGGGCATCGTGGTGCGCGCGCGGTTCAAAGCCGCCCACATGTGGCGGCGCCTGTCCCAATCGATAAAGAGTTGCATTTCCTCGCTATCCTGGCAACCAATGCGTCTGGGCCTGCCTTGAGGAACGACGTTGCAATGTCGCGCCCCCAGGGGGGCCGCAGCGGCCACGTCGGGGACGGCTTTGGAGGGCATGATCTGTGCTCGAGAGCGTTTTGGGCCTGCCGCCACCTCGGCTAGGTACGGGGGCCTGCCTGAAACCACCGAAACATACCCGGACCTAGCTGGGGTGAGCTGCGTCGCCCCGGCTAGGTACGGGTGTGTTTTTTGGGTTTTCATGGGGCAGCCGTACCTAGCTAGGGTGATCCGCAGACGGCCGTCCAAGGGGGGCGGCCTCTGGCGACCTCGCCCAGGGCACAGATTCGCGATGCCTCCGCATCGAGCAATTCGCGATAAGGCGGTTGTCGCGCAATGACGTTCGCGCCAGAGTTGTTCGCATGCGCCCCCGAGTGCGCGTTGACTCCTCAACGCCCGGATGTGTGTCTGGGGGCGCGCCTCCGCAGTAGCTGGTCGACATCGACAACAACCAACGCAGGGTCGGGCACTCCGCCGATTCGAACGCACGTGCGATCGGTGCTAACGTGCGCCCCGAGAAGACAGCGGTCTGTAATGCTCGATCGGCTGTCGTTTCTACACTTGTGCAGCCGCCGTCAGCCGCGACGAACCGCCCCCCCGGCCCCTTGCCACCCTGTCTAGGAAAGGGTACGGGTATCTTTCGCGCTCGAGAATGGCGTGCCAGCATCCGGCGACACAGGCACAAAGACGCAAACGAGCACTTGCCTCACTGCGACGCATTGCTGCAATTGTGTCCTCTCCTCCTGCTCCTCCAGAAACTCGCACAGCAGAAGTCGTGCAGAAGACACGGGCGCGCCCGACATGGTCACCGTCACCTCCACCCGTTCCTACCCTCAGCAAGCTGATGCAAGCACAAGCATGGAGTCAAGCTCGTGCAGATGATCCACACAATTATGCTCTGGCCATCACAATCCATTTTCTGCCGCGCCTAGCAGGCCAAGGCGTCCGTGTCGGAGCCTTCATTCGAAGACGAAACAACCACATAAACATAAACTTTTGGCGTTCCGCGCGGATTTCTTGGATCCGCGCTGGGGCCCCCCGGTGGCGCCTCCGGCGCCGCCCCTGGCGCGCGTGAGTGTGTGGGGTACATGCCGGATCGCGTGAATGTGGTCGAATGTGTTTGAACACGTTTCGGATATGTTTGACCGTGTTTTTGTCTCTGTTTCGAATCTGTCTTGACTATGTTTCGAATCTGTTTACTTTTTCGTTCAAGCTCCGCCGGTACGGGGACCTGCCCGACCTACTCTTGGTGCCTCCGCGCCTTCTGCCTCCTCGCCTGGCGCGCCCCGGCGCCAGGGGCATCTGCAAGTACGGCGAGGGCTGCTACTACCGCCACGACGCGGGCCCAGGCGAAGATCAGGGCACGCAGGACGCGAGTCGCGGCGCGGGGGCAGGAAACGATCGGCCGGAGGAGAGGGCCAGACCTCACCACCCACCAAGCGACCCCAGCCCAACCCGAGGGCCCCAACTTGCACTCCATTCCCCGTGTGGGGGGGGGGGGGCGTCGGGGAACATTGGAAGAACACCTCTGGAATCCGTAGCCCCCCCCAACCCGGAATTGGGGTCTTCGGGTTAGGTTGGAGTGGCGTGGTAGGTGGTCAGGAGATGAGGTAGGATCGAGGACCGAGGGCTTAGTGGTGCTTGGAAGCGGCAGGGCCGTCTTTTCAGTGTTCGTTTTGCAGTTCTTTGTCCTTGGGTCCGGCTCGGTTTGTTGTTGTTGTTGCTGTTGTTGTTGCTGCTGTTGTTGTTGCTGTTGTGGTTGCTGCTGCTGCTGCTGTTGTAGTTGGTGTTGTTAATGTTGTTGTTGTTGTTGTTGTTGTTGTTGTTGTTGTTGTTGTTGTTGTTGTTGTTGTTGAACATTATTAATTCTAAAGAATAATTATTGTTGGGACCCCTGGTGCACGGCCCCCCTGCGCCGCCTAGGCCGCAGCTACATTTTCATCATTTTCGTGAGGAAGCCTCAGGTAATTCGATGTGATCAAGATCCGGTTGTTTTGTTCCCCCCCGCTTTCCCTTGCAAAAAACACTATAAAATGACATTTCTTGTTCTAATATAATCAAATTTCAAGAATCCCTTGCAAAAAATAAGGTAAAGTGGACATTCGCGCGCGCAAGACGAAATCCTTCCAAAAGCTTAGTGTTCGGAGCGATTTTAACATAAAAACATCAAAAAACCAATGGTTTTTCAACAAAAAAATGTCAAAATCTCATCCCGCGCGCTCTTGCGGATTCGTAGGAAACCCAACACTTTTTAAACATTTCTGTCAAACGGGCTTTTGCGAGCAACTTTTTCGAACTTCTGCGACAACGGTTGCGCACCTGCCAGGGCCATCATCCCTGTCAAATAATACCATGCGGGACACATTCGTTTTTTCTTCGCGCGCGCACGCCGTCGTCGTCGGCCGCGGGGCCCTGAATAGTAGCCACGGTCGTCCGCATGCCACGAAGTGAAGTGTCCGAACGTCATAGGGCGGGAAGCTGGGTGTGGGTGGTGGCGAAGAGTCGTTTGGAAATTTGGTAGAGCTTGAACCGGCCCCCCACAAAGTGGGGGTATTGCCCGCCTCCTATGAAAACCCTGGCACTGGTGAGAACGGAGTGTCCCCACGTGCTAGTAATTGTTGTTGTTGTTGTTGTTGTTGTTGTTGTTGTTGTTGTTGTTGTTGTTCTTGTTCAGTCCCGTCTCCGTGTTTTTTCCTGTTCCGGCTCCAGCTTCAGTCCCAGAGCAGTCTTTTCAATTCATTTCGGCGAAAGGTGTTCTTTTAACCGTTTTGGTTCTCAAGAACACGATTTTTGGAAACGGCGAGGATCGAGGAGCGATGTGTTGGTTTGATTATTTGTGACTGTTCGGCCCTCTGGAGACCTCCCGAGGCGAGGGGGTGCCCACCAAGCGCGCGGAGAGGGGCCTGTGGATTTCTGTGATTCCCTGGGTGGTCAAATTTTTCCGAAGACGATCTTGGAACTTTTTACTGTCACTTAGCCTGATTTTCCTGCGCCTCCAGTGGTCCGCAGTGGTCTGCTGGAGGCCACTGGAGGCCACTGGAGGCCACTGGAGGAGCTACTCCTTGTTAATCGTGTGATTACGAGACTCCCAGGAGCGTCTTACGAATACCGTGTGGGAGACGTGACGTCGGCCGGCAGGATGGAGGCCTTCGGCCGAGATGTCACGAGGACTCGGCTTCTTCGGAGCTTGCGCTTCAACGTGCCATGCCTAGCATGCCTTCTTCCTGGAAGGGTTGTCTTTTGAATTCTGTCAGCTTTCCCAAGCACGTTTCCGCCAGAGCGAGGGGGCGAAATGGGAATGAGAAGGCCTTCTCAGAAGGCGGCGGCACTTCTCAGGGGCCCCGCGCCTCCTGAGAAGTTTTTTCTTGTTTCCGGGGAAGGCTTAGGAAACTACTTTGAAGGCCCGGGGACTTCCGAACCCTCTGAGAAGGCCTTCTCCTTCTCACCTTCCCCCCCTCGCTCGCCGCCGAGCCAGCGCTGGCGAGAGGTGTGCCGTGGCACACTCGTCGCCGCGAGGGCGCCCGCGGAGCCGGGGCTGCGAGCACGTCGGCGGTCTCGTGGTCGGGCGAAGGCCGGCTCGGAAGGTCCAGGCCTCCCAGACGGGGTCGGAGCGGAGGGGGTCGGAGGCTCGCGCCGCATCGCCGATGCACCGCCGGTGCGGCTCGATGTGCGGCCCGATTCGCCTCACGTCGACGTCGCCGATGCATCGCCCACGTCGGCGATGCATCGCCGGTGCATCGTGGATGCATCGCCGATGCATCGCCGATGCATCGCCGACGCCGATGTATCGCCGATGCGGCGCGATCCTCCGACCCCATCTTCTCCGACCCCATCTAGGAGGCCTCTAGAAGGGTGGTAGGACTCGGGGCAGATACTATTAGACAGATATGAGATGTGCGCCCAGACGGCGCATTGTCAAGACAACTGCGACGGATAACGGCGTAGGTAGGCACATGCGACAATAACTAAATATCGTAGACAAGAAGCATAAACATACACTTTTGGCGTTCCGAAGGGGATTTCTTGGATCCGAGCTGGGGCCCCCTGGCAGCGCCTCCGGCACCGCCCCCTGGCGCGCTCCGCGTGCCGGGGAGGAGGGTCCACTGCAGATCCAAGAAATCCGCGCGGAGCGCCAAATGCTTATGTTGAAGGCGTTGTTTTTCTTCTTTTTCTTCTTCTTCTTCTTCTTCATCTTCTAATCATCGATTGCGCTGCAGGTGGCTCGGTTGGAGACCATTGGCGGACTTTGTGCCGAACGGGCGGCGTCTCGTTGGTCTGCTGGCAAGCCGCGGAGAGGGGGTGGAAGGGAGGGAGGGAGGCAGAGGGGGAAGGATGGAAGGAGGAAGGAGACGAAGACATAGACAACTGTTTCTGCTTGCACCACCTTGTGACGACGGCGTGTCACTGTATTTCGTTCTCTAGAAGCCCCTAGAGCCTGTCGGGTTGCCCCACTGTGGCTTTCAAAGCTCGGGAACGCAAGCAATTCCTTCATTCCAGACGTGGCTGGATTTTCGCTCGAGCGCTCCCCTAATAACTGAGGACCATATTATTGTGGGTATCAGCTGCAAGACGCATGCGCCTTGGCAAGCTGCTCGCTGTTTCACGGGCGAGCCGGCCGTACTAGTGCAATTGGCATCGCAGCTAGAAGTCGGACAATGTCCGCGCACCTGCGCAATTCAGAACACGAGCGTTGTTGACGCGAGAAGCATACGCAGGATCGATTTTGACAATTTTCCTGAGACGCAGCGCTTGGAATGCATTTAACTCCGCCCGGTCCGCAGGAACATGCACACATTGAGGCCATGAAGGCAATTTGGGAAAGACACACGCTTCTAAAACCTTATGTTCCCGCTGCTTGCCTAAATTGGCGTGGTTCACACACAACGAATTTTCTCAAAAGCTCCTTATGTCTCTCCGAGGCGCTTGGTCAACTCACTCTTCGGCTGGCCGTCGACGCTGAGGAGCCCGTCCAACTACACGGCACTGCTTTGGCACGGAATGAATTCGCCGTGTTGTCCTTAGATGTTGGTCTCAGACCTGATCGGGAGACGTGCGATTTGCCAACGTTCAGGTCCAAACCAACAGTCCTCCGAATCCAGACGACTGCGTCCAAATGCTTCTGGTGGTACTCCAGCTCTTGTGCTGCCAACATTGTGTCTTCTGCGTGAAGACCGTCTGCGGTGACCAAGTACGGTTTTGTTGTATTTTCACAGGTGTGTCCGGTCATGTCCTTGTCGACGATCTGAAATAATACATTGACGTAGCTATGATGAGCAAGTGCGGCGACAAAGGGCACCCTTGCGCTGTTCCTGCTGCTTGTGTTCTGCGGGATGTCGTAGAATGCCCATGCTTGTCCACACATGCTCCCGCCCTGAAGATTCCTTCAACCAATCTGGAGGATTGCTGGTGGCACTCGAAAACGTCGGAGAGCGTGAAACAAGCTTTCTTGTCGGATACAGTCGAATGCTCTGCTCCAATTCTGAAGTAAGAGCAACAGCGTGCCACCCCTATGGCATCGATTAGCCGTCTCGCCAAGAAGAGCGCGTCATTCGTACCGCGTTAGGGTCTGAATCCGTATTGCGATTCTCGAGTGTGCATCGCATGTAGCTTTCTCGGCCGCGCGTCGTTCACAGTGCTTCCTTCCCTCATGTCGAGGTTCTGCGTGTGGCATCGCCTGTCGCAGTATGACCTTGTCATCGTGTTCGATGTGTATGTAGTTGTCCTGGTGCGAGCTTCACTGCGGATGTGTGAGCGTCGTGTTTCCCAGATGGGATAATCGACACATGCACACATACATGTAGATTCCAAGGAACATTGGAAACTATTGGAAGTGGAGAAGTCTACAAAAGATGGTAACATATGGGGGGCCCTGGGCTTGGTGCATATTTACTTGTGTGTCCCTGGGCCCCTGTATTCGTGAGCACGAAAAACCAACGCTTGACCTGAACCCAGGCGCCCGCACAGGCATTTCTCATTGCCCAGAGGGTACGTGTAGCCCACTGGGGGTCTGGGGCGCCTGGGGATATTCAAGTCGGCGTGACCCCAACATATCAATACTATGTGTGCGTCGCCCCCCCCCCCAAGGGGCGACGCGCGCACCGAGATTATAGTGTGGGCGTCGCGGCGGGCGCTTCCTGGACTCGCCGCTGGGGAAACGATACGCTACAGGATGGGTGTACTACATGTTCGGGTCGGACGCGCGCCGCCCCAGAGGACGTATAGTATGTGTGTGTGTGTTTGTGTGTGTATGTGTGTGTGTGTGTCTCTGTGCGTCCCACCATGTGTGTGTGTGTGTATCTCGA